TCAGCTTAAACTTTAAGCACTTCATACACTTAACACAAATTATTTTTTTGAACAACTAATTTTTTATTAGTCGGGATAAACAGTCAGTTTATGTATCATACACGTGTATGTATAATTTTGCAGGTGGGGGCCTCGGTTGCGTATGAATCAAACAGTTTGGTCGAGCTGAGGGAATGGAACGAGCGATATGGCGAAGGAGGAAGCAGGAAAAAATCGAAGCATTCACAGCCCCCTACCAATTGAGGATTTGAATTTCGTTCCTGGTTTATTTACAACCCTTTAGTTGGCTTGATTAATTTTTTTTTTTTTTTACAATTTGAGTTTGGAGTTAATGGGATTTTGTGTTTTTTCTTTCATATTTTGGCAAATGTAAAGCTCCGTATCTACTATTATTATTATTATTATTATAATTATTATTATTATTATTATTATTATTATTATTATTAGGATCACGCTAAAGTGACATAATCGATCATCATGTTAATTCACATATCATATCAGTTTAAGGATATGACCTTTTGCAGTTTTGCTATATGAAACAGCTCCACTTCAAAAGAACACCTTCCAACACTACATATACTAATTGGTTAGATTTCTTAGTATTCTAATTTTTTTTTTCTCGAAATGATAGATTTTATATTCCTTCAAAAACGGAGATTTTACAATGAAGACCAAAAGAGCACTCGCCCTTATAAAAGCACCAAGGAGGTGGAATCAGGAGAGATGCTAACCGTGGCACCCTAGACAAAATAAAAAAGGGGGGATTGGGTCCAGATAATCCGGCAATGGCAACAACATTGAACCCGAACTGCTAGAGCCCAACTCCCAACAAAACCAAAATAATTACTCCAACAAGTAGAAATCTAACTAATCCGGCAATTAGTTAGATTTCTTAGAATTCTAATGGTTAATTCCATTTGATGCCAATGATTATATATATATTTTTTTTCCTTCCTTGTAGGAATTATTGATGGAAAAAAATAAAATTTATAATGGAAATTGTAAAAAGAGGCCAAGAATGACATTTAAAAAAAAAAAAAAAAAAAAAACCTAGAAAAGGTGTTCGCCAATTAGTAGGCTATTCAACACATTTATATCATTTTGTTTTTCCAGCATAAATTGCTCTAATAATTTTTCTAGTTCACATGTAATGAACGTATAAATAAGTTTTTTAATTCATATGTAATGATTTATTAATTTTAAATTAATTTTAATATATTAATGTAATATTTTAATAAATAAAAGAAATTATTTATCATTTTACATATTCAATATGGATATCTAATCGAAACTTGTCAAAAGATGATAATTTAATTTATTATATAGGAAAAACTGATAACAAATTCAAAATTATTAACCTTTAAATATATTTATAATTTAAGTTACTCACGTGTTTTAAAATTTTAAATTCCTTAAAGGTGTGGATAGAATAGAATTCAAATCTACATGGGCTATCCCGAAGTACCAAATCGACACATAGAATTACAAAACTAAGAAGCTGACATATAACATCGAGATATTCTGCTAGTACAACGCACATAGGAGAAAACCCGTGTATATTCATAAAAAAAATTATTATTTTTTACAAACTTAGATTATTATTTATATTTAAAACAATACTTATCCCTTGATATCTGTTTTAAGTTATATTATATAATGAGTTTAATAGACAAAGTTATTTAATTGAGAAATAATTTTATTTATTTTTTTAATTAGTATTGATATATAATTTAATTTTCATTATATACTTATATATATATATATATATAATATGGATGTAAAATCAGAACTCATTGTGAAACGATTAATTTGATATATTATATATGAAAATTGATAACAAATACCAACAATAACCTTTAAAATATATTTAATCATTTAAATTGGTGAAGCATGGATAGATTTGGACATCACTTATTAGTTTTGTTTTTTTTTTAAATCAATAATAAATAAGTCATGATATATTTTTAGAAAACAATATATGTATAATGTATATATGCATATATTTTTTTATAGCTGTAGAATCCAAACCATTTTTCCCATACAACAGAATTTCAATAGACATGAAAATCATATTGCCATATATATATATATATGATTACAAAATACAATCCCTCTGCGAAAGGAAGTAAATCTAAAATGTACTTACAAAGTTTCATGACTCTATAAAACCATCACAGTTAGAAGACCTCTTCCATATATATATATATATATATATACTAAAAATCCATCGTTTTAATTAATTAGCATGTGTATATTTAAATTAAGCATATACATTTTTTAGGTGGTGTTTTTGGATTGTGTCATGTTAAGGGGATCAGCTAAACATTCAAAAGCCAAACAGTGGATCATGATGTGGTCCTGTTCCACACCATCGTACCTGAGCCCCGGTTCGCACACGAGCACGAGGAACTATTCGGTGGTGGTCCCTCGGAATCCGAGGTTGTTATCATCGGCTAACACTAACACGAGCCGGAGATTCTTTTTGGCGCAATCGAGGTTTTTTTCAAATTCGGAAATTAGCAGTGGGCAGTATGAGAACAACTTTATTCCAAATGATGATATTGCCCGTGGGGACTATGAGAAAAGCTTTATTCCATCTATAATTTCTCCGAATGATATTGGTGTCAAGTTTGATGACGTTGGTGGCCTTGACGTAGTGAAAAAGGCGTTGAATGAAATTGTCATTCTTCCATTGAAGAGGCCTGAGCTTTTCTCCCGTGGGAACTTGCTTCGGGTTAGTATCAATTCAACAAGTTTTTTTTTTTTTTTTTT